AAATCGGGTCGGTTTGAAAATGGGTTTCGGTTCAAAACAGATCGGGTGAAATCGGGGTTCCAGTCATTATCGGTTCAAGTCATAATCAGTTTGGATTGAACTTGGTCGGTTTGAAAACGAGTTTACTCAATTTTAAGCGGGTTTCAGTCCAAATCGTATTGGGTTAAAATAGAGTCGGATCATTATCGAGTCGAATTATTCAGATAATGGATAGGAACGGGTCATGGTATAATCAAGTTAAGTCATAAATAAGTTGGGTTTATCGAGTAGTGGGTTGAAACGGATCTGATCATAAACATATTGAGTTACGGGTTGTAAACGACTCAATCATAATGGGTTACCAGTAGTAAACGGTTCGATCTCAATGGGTTACGGGTCGTAAACAGTTCGATCTCAACGGGTTACGAGTTGGAAACGGTTCGGTCATAACGGGTTACGAGTTATAAATGGTTCGGTCACAACGGGCTACGGGTTGGACCGATTCAAGTTTATCGGATTGTTACCGAGTTTAAACGGTTTTCGGTTTAAAATAAGTTGGGTTACTATCGGGTTTAGACGTAATCGGTTCGGGTTGTTTTCAGTTTCGGGTTTTAACGGTTTGGCTTGATAGCGGGTCGGGTTAGTAACGGTTCACACAAATTTGGTTCAGGTTCAGTTTCTGGTTAGGAAAAATTGGGTTGGGTTGGTTTTCGATTTCCAAAAAATGGATTTTTAACGGTTCAGTTTCTTTTTGCATCGATTCGAAATAGACAGGGTCAGAAACTGACAGCTTTATGTACCAACAATCAAAGAATCCAAAAACAGCCTATTCTACCAACCAATTTCTAGGTAAAATCAAAATCCATTATGGACTTTAATTACCTACTTAAGTAATCTTAACAAAACATTAATCAATGCTCGTATCAGTCATTAATGTAAAGGTTGCATTGTTCAAGACTATTGTTCCGTAAACAATTAATTGACACCTAAGTTTGTTCTACACACCTTATTTTTATAAAGAGAATTACTAAATAAGTTCAAATAAACGACAATCAAGTTTCTTATAAAAAATAAATAGAACAAAACTTCAATAGTTGAAATGGAGATTAGTCCTTTTCATAAGACTTGATGTATCATGTTTGAATTTAAAAATGCCTCAAATTAATACTATAAATGAAACATAATTATATAAGACTTTTTTTATTCAAAGACAATTCTAATAAGACTTTTGTTTCCTCTCTTTATCCAATTTGAGCAACAACCAACTAACTTATGTTTGTTGTATTTTCATCAGCCAAATAAGATACATTCTCCACTTTATTTAACAAATTCTTAATCAAAGCAATGTAGGTGGTAAATCTATATTAAATACTCCGTAATGAATCACCATAGCTAATTAACTAATGATGCCTTGACCGAGTGGTTAAGAGCTCAACACAGACCCGTATATGATACGAGCAGGTTCAGGTTCAAATATCCCCACCCGACCACCCCCATTTGTAACTTGTATTCAAAATCAAACACGACCGTCACAGAAATGCAAGCAATCAAAGCAATAGAAGAAATAAAACTCACTTGAATCGAATACGCTTGAGATCATTCCCACCACGTGGCAAAGAAACAAATGTGATCAACACCCCAGGCTCCACCTGAGCCACCCACTCTTTGGGCTCATCTTCCTCAACCAATACAACCGGGTCAACTCGCCGCCCACTCGCCGACACCGACATTACCGGCGTTACCTCGCCGCCCACTGACAACCCCTTTAACCGAGCTTCCATCTCTTTCCCCCACCTTGGCGTCGCCGCCGAAGACGACGAGTTTGCACTCAACGTCCTCTTAAACGCCCTTGGTGGCTTTAACTTCTCTGACCCGGACCCGGAACCTGACCCGGTTTCTGATTCGGCGTATTTCTTGAGTTGACCCGGACCTGACCCGGGTGCACCGGTTGAGTTCGGATGTGAACATGGGTTGCATTTGTATGCTCCGGATGCCTTTAATGCTATTCCTTTGATCTACATGTATAGTAAATATAAAAATCAAATTATTAAGTAAAAATAAAATTACATTATAATGGGAAAAATAATATTTGGAATTACCTGAGAAGTTAAGGTTTTAATGGCTTGTTTACTGTTAGGAGTGTGAACCGAGTCAGGATCGTCGTGTTGATGATGATGACTCACTGAGTTATGATGACCTTGTTGATGCTTTGGACGAGCTATGCACGTCAACATTTTTGCTTATTTTTCTGGGTTTTCTCTATTCTGCAAAATTGAATTGTAGATTTTAATCTCTTCATCAAATATACAATTTTCAAACAAAAAAATAGAGAAAAATAAATAAATACCTTTGTAAAATTCAATTGGTTATTGAATTTGTTTTGGCAATTTAGTGACAATAATGATGATTTAAGTAAAAGATGAAATTAATTACCAAAATAACAGAAACATATTCAGATTAAGAAGAAAAATTAAGGAAGAAGAAGAAAAGGAGATGAAATTAAGAGAAAGAAGGAGAAGAAGTGGAAAGTGCAGGGCACGTTGGTTTAATGGAGTTCGCATCTTCTTTAATTTTGGCTCCCACTCTTTTTATTCTTTAATTATTAAATTTTTTTTTTCTTTTGCGCCTTTTTTTTTTTATTCATATGATCGCCTTTTTTTTTTTTTTTTTTTTACCTTTACCACTAGGGTGTCTAAGTGTGAATGTAAATAGGAATTTTTGTTGGCGGGTACTTTTTTTTTTATTTTTTATTTTTTTATTTTTGGGTCCATATAATATTATAATTTGACTGTTGTAGATTTGTAGCAATTTCAATCATGTAGTACGGAGTGACAATTTAGTGGACTATTTGGTACTCTTAATTTTGGATTATGTTTGTGTAGTTGTGTTGAATAAAGGCCCAATCCTCTATCATAAAGGGTGTGGTCATGGTCCTCATGGACTTTATGATTGGTTTAGTTTTGTGTTGTTCAAGTTTCAAAACGCTAACATCCACAATAGTTATAAATAGGCTCTTGCTTGTAATTTTTATATTGTTGGAGCTAGTAGCTTAACATTGCGGAGAGGTATAAGGGTTGCAACTTTGGTGAAACTACATAGCTTCATTTCACCAAAAGCATGTGATTTCTTTTTTTGCATTTTTTTTATTTCGCAAAAGGTAGTAGCTTGTCATTGTGGATGTTATAGGCTTATAGCTTAAATGATATAGTTTGGAAAATAATGATGTGGCAACCCAAAGCTACAAGGAATGTAGCTATCCATTGTGGATGTTCTAACTCGATTTAGGATCCAATTTCATCATATGTTGGTTGCAAGACTTCGTTGGGACTTGAGGGGATCAGTTTGAAAGAATATCTAGCAAGTAACAATTTGTTTGGTTGTAAAGTTTTTAAAAGAAAGGAAGAGAATAAGTAATTTCATCTTAGTGTACTGTTTGACTAAACTATGATCTATTAATCCAATCCTAGATCCGCCACTGGGCGGGCACACCCATTGTGAGAGCAAAGCTTTATGTGTTCTTCTCACATAGAAGTGTGTCAAAATCATTTTTGTGGTGTGCCAAATTCATTTTTCCTTTTTTTCATCCAAACTCCATTTGTTTAATGAATAGTGAATATAAATATTTCGAATATGAGTGTTTGGTAAAGTAGTTGTTTACAAGATATCAATTACTATATATTAAAGTAATCACCAGAATTCTTCCAAAAGTACACGTGTTGATTCCACAGCAAAAAAAATTCCGCCAATTATTTTATTTTTTAAAAAAAAATATCTACTGCCTAAACTACCCCGAAAAATTAAACAATAACAACAACATTAAATAAAAGAAAAAAAATTATTTGCTTTATAAATAAGAAAGTGAGATAATTGATTAAAAGAATGAAAAATCACGAACAAAGTAGAGTCATTGTATATTAGCGATTTTTTACCCTACAAAATTCTAAAATCAATTCAACTAAAATTTATTGTCGCAAAAAGAATACCACCAAACTAAAAAAAAAAACTACAAAAATAGGGATATTCTATATTAACGTGTCATCTATACTAATTTGATAACGTAAATTAATAGATATTTGAATGTAAACCTATAAACAACTACAAACATAGAGTAATTTATAAAAATATTTTTTTAGTGAATATCCGAGCGGTTGCTCGGGCAAATAACTAGTTATATATTAAAATTAACATTTTTTTCGCTTAAAGTGTTGAAAAAAATTATCAACCGCTTACTTTTAATATCAAAAGCTATATATTTAACTTTTTGATAAAAGCTACCTCAACTACTATATTGCCAAACGCTCAATATATTTATAAATTACTGTTTGACTTGATTGATAAATTAATAAAAGCTTAAAAGTTAGTGTCAAACCACACTTCTAGTCTTGGTTAAGGCTCCATATTGGGTCATTAAATGGTTGAATACTTTTTGTAAAAACCAAAAAGTAACCAAACAATTAATTTATAATTTAGTGTTTAATATTAAAATCGTGGTTCAAACCTTGTGAAAACCAAATAGTCTAATCTCTAAATAATTATGGATACTATATGTCTAATATTCTCCATCCATCTCTATTAGGCTTCATAATATGATTTTTATACACGGTTGTGAATTTAAGAAAATTTTGCGTGAGTTGCTAAAAACAATATAAATTTTTAGATTAGGGTTGAGTCAAAAGGTTAATATACATATGCCATAATGTTAGCGTTTGAATGGTAACGAGTAGCGTATGACAACTTAATTACTTTTTAAATCTTATTATGTATGTATTTTTATAGTATTTTAATATTTCAACCATTATTTTTACCAAATACTTATACTATTAATCTCTACCTAATACTAACTGACGACTATTTGCTACTTGACCATTAAAAGCTAGCCGCTAATTTTATCAAACAGAGCCATAATGTATCTAAACACACACAACTCTCTTTCTACAAGAACTTTAAATGTATACTCAAAGTGTACGATATAATGTCGATTTATTTTTTTTATTTTGTTTTATGCATGTGTTTGATTGTACCATGCATGTTTGTAATCATTTTCATACAAAAAGAACACTAATTATATGTAACATCTTACAATTGTGGAAACTTTATAATCAAATATGAACAGACAAAATTAATTTATTTCAATTTAATATTCTTTAATAACACACACTACCACATTCAAGATTGGATTAGGTCAAGGAGTAAACTAGAAGAACACGAAACAACTTCACATCTCTAGAATAAAAACACATTCCACTTTCCATGCAATTCCTTTTCCGTTTCCCTTTCCCTCTCCGTTTCCCTTTCCTTTCTCCCGACAACTCCCATCCAAAGCAAAAAGACGAAAAGAAGTCTCTTCATAACCCATTAAAAAAAATTAAAAAAAATAAAGAAAAAAGAATCATACGACGTCAGCCCACCATAGATTACATGCATCAGCAATTATCCACCGTTAGATCTTCTAAGCTGTTTCCAGAACAACCTGCCGTTTCCACGTGGCCATTTTAATTCGCTGTAATGTGGGTCGCACCGTACTCTTTGAATAGTGGATCCCACAAACACTCACATTTTAGTTTTTCCGTTTTTGCATAATAAAAAGTTTTTAAAAATAAAATCCCAATAAGAGAAAAACCAAAAAAATTTCTCTCATTTTCTCTCTCCTCCTCCGCCATTGCCACCGGCAAACCAACCACCACCTCCACCTCCAAATCGAGCAACGGCCTCCAAATTTAACGTTGCTCATTCAAACATTCAAATATTCCAGCTTATTTTAATTTAGTGTGATTATCAAATTTGTTGTCGGAATCGGCGGAGGAAACGATGCCGTTTCCACGCCGGAGAAAGGGTGCATCCCCTCCACTACCTCCAATAGAAGATTCCGGAACAATCGAGAAGGAGACAGAGGAGAATAAGAAGAGGAGAGAGAAAGAGGAGGAGTTTCGAAGGTCGAAGAAGGAGAAGAAATGGTCATGTATAGATAGTTGTTGTTGGGTTGTAGGAATGGTATGCTGTACATGGTGGTTTATGTTATTTTTGTTCAATGCAATGCCGGCTTCGTTTCCGCAATTCGTTACGGAAGCGATTACCGGGCCATTGTCTGATCCTCCTGGTGTTAAGTTACATAAAGAGGGTTTGAAGGCGAAACATCCTGTTGTTTTTGTGCCCGGTATCGTTACCGGGGGTCTCGAGCTTTGGGAAGGTCACAGTTGTGCTGATGGATTGTTTCGGAAGCGCCTTTGGGGTGGTACTTTTGGTGAATTGTATAGAAGGTATATTTTTATTTGTTATATAATAAGAATTGTTTTGATTGTTTTGTTTTGTCATGTTTGAATTTGTTTGTGTTGGAGTATAATTAGGATGAATGTAATTGAATTTTGGTACAAAATGATGTGTTAGATTGCATATGCCACTGCCTTTGAAGCAAAATCGGTCTGTTTTCAGTGTGATTAAAAAAAGTGGTAATTGGTAATTGTTTTAGGGGAGGTTATAGGAGTAGGGGATTTGGTTTAGAAAGCGAGTTTTGGAGTTTGTGATTCGAGTAATGGAGTGAGTAGCTGAATGGTTGAATACTTGAATGTCCTAGCTCATTTGGATGAGCTTATTGTTTGTGGTTTAACAAATTGGTGGCAATCAAATTTGGGTTTTTTAATTGATGGAAGATAAACTTTCTTAGTTTCTATGGCATGTATTTGGCCTGTATGCTGGCGTTATTGTAGCTTTATCTCTTTGGTAGTTAACAACTATATGGTGCAAGCTAGGTATGGTTTGTGTATGGGAGTTTCTAATACAAGTCTTCTGAAGATTACCTATGCTACTGACTTTAATATTGAGGATGGACTTGTTATTTTTAGTCTTGAAGAATCGAAGTATTGCGAGTTCTTTAGTTTTGTTCACCTTGTCAAAGTAGAGATTCGAGACTAGAGATGAAAAATTCATGGCTTGATGTGCAAATCTAGTTTGTTGAGTTTTATTCTACGATAGTTACCATTCCCGCCTCTTGGTTATACGGAGTAATATTATTATTCTACGGTAGCTTACCATTCCCGCCTCTTGGTTATAAAGCAGCTTTAAGAGATTCAAATATCTTAATAGAAGAGATGGGTAAATATTCTTTCTTTTTATCGATCTGTCTTGCTGCAGGTTAAATAAGGAAATGTTTTGGGTAAGGAGGTTGTTCCCAGGAGGCCAGGATCAATAGGCACAATGAAGTTCATAGATTTATGCTCGGTTCAAATCATCTTATTTAAAAAGTTTATGCTTATTTTAGAAATAGTCAGATTAGATAAAAATTTATTTGCATTTACTTGTCACTAAATATCGTTAATTCCGTACATTAAAAATTATTAAAATATCATATTTGGAAAGTACAGTTCATGTATCTGGTACACAAATCATAGTAATTTAGGTGAAATGAACATAGCCTTATTCTTGGTGGCTGTGCATTTGTGATTTATGTCTACATATGTCCTCATCTGGCCATCCAACTAATTCTTTCAGTCAGGAGATAGATCATGGTGAAAAGCCCATGCAACTATAGAAGCTCAATTAGGAAAGATGTTACTCTGTATCAAGTGAGGTTAAAGAGTTATCTGTATTCTGTAACTTTAGAAAATTACTTGAGCACGAGATGATCTTGTTAAGGATATAAAGTATTAAAAAGCTCAATAGTAAATAGATGCTCTTTGATTATTTACTTTTGGAAGAGGAGTTAGCTACCAGTTATTAGAATTTAAAATAATAAAAAAGAGTGATTGAGTTTGATCTTTGATAGACTGTTTATCAGTATTTGTTTGTTGGATTTCTTGGTAAGGATTTTTTTGAGGATATAAAGTATTAGGAGCTTGTGCCTTTTTTACTTTTGCCTCTCAACACCCTTCCAAAATCATGATAAGCTCAGGTGAGAGTTAAGTTAAACTGTCAACCTTATCATTTCAGTTTATTATGCAGACATTTATGCCTTGTAGAATCTATACTTATTTATTAAAAAGCGTTCCCAAAAATGTTTATGTGCTACGTAGTTCTGCATTAGCATTGTGACATGTCATCATTTTGCGCCATATCATCCAATAGCATTATTGCAACAATTATTCCATGTCATTAATTTGTAAACAACATCCCACAAGTTTCATGTTTCGAACACTGAACCTCATGGATGTAAGATCACATTTCTTACCATCTTAGCCAATAGTAATTTATGTCCTTTATTTACACATAAATAAATATATCTTTAAGTAAACACAAAAATAAAGATAAAGAATAATTATGTAGTCTAGAAAAAACGAATAAGCAGAATAGCCTCAACAATTCCTAGACAATAGAGAATTATTCTATTTAAATTCTCTTTTTTTTTTTTATTAACGTTATGTTTCAAAGTAACAACCCGGTGCAATACCCGGGCCACACACTAGTTGTAAATAATTCTATTGTATGCTTATATTGTCTGCTTAGTTCAGCATTGTAAGGGCTAACGCAAGGCTACTATTAATTGTGTTAACCCTTCAAACCACTGTCTATCTCGCCCTATCTCTTCCCTTCTCACTCTCTCTCTCCTTCCCAGCTCTTCTAAGTTCTAAGCCAATCAAATAATACCTTCTCCTCTCCTTCCAATGCTTTTAAGCCCCAAACCTCACCACCAACATCTTTGTTTTCTCTAGTCCTTATCAAAGACTTCTTTTCTCCCCCCCCCCCCACCCCCCTTCTCTCTCTCTCTGGTTTTATGCCAATTCCATTGTATTAGCCACCTTATTGTGCACAGTGTGGGATCATTGACTTTGTTACATGTGAAGTGGTCATTGTTTAGGGTGCTGATATTTTATGAAGGTGAAAAGATGTTTATACTCATTCCATTTTTCAATTTCTTCAAAGTAGTTTTCACTTATGTCAAAGATGTTACAATACACAGAATAGTTATTTATCAGGTAGTTATTGAAAGGTGCAAATGCTCACCTTTGAGAGGCCAAAATACACACAAGTAATGAGCAAATTTTGGAGAAGTAAAACATGGTGGCATCCCGACATGCCATTTTCAAGTGGTGTCAATATTGGGTTATGTATGTGATCTATAGACAAATTGATGAATGGGGATTTGTGGTTTGTTGAAGAAGGGTTTGATTCTACCTGGGATTAGATGACAGTTTACAGTTTTCACATTGCTATATTAAATCTATGGGAAAGATCAGTTTAATAATTTTAGATAGCATTGTAGGAGGGGAGGGGACAACAGAGGCAGCAATGATGGAGGGGCCAAGGGGGCTAGTAGCTGGCGGTAGCTAGCTGATGGGGTTTAGGATCTTGTCTCTTAACTATCCTATCTTGTGTCCTTACTACTAATTTTGACATCTCATCAGCAGGATATTAGTTATTTAGTGTTGTAATTGTGAAATCTTGGATGATGTGGAATGATAAGATTTAAAGTGATAGAATATGAGTCGTAGAAATGTAAAATGGAATGGAAAATTCCTACCAGATTGGTGGCTGTCAAGGTGGCAATTGTTGGCTGGGTTGGTGGTGAGTGGGTTCGGGCCTTTGGGGGGTGTATCATAACGCTATTAGGGTTAAAGGGTTTTTTTTTTTTTTAATTAATTATATTAAACATCAGTGGTAAAAGGTGTAATTAATAAAGTATATGGGTGCATGGTGAATTCCATTCAAACTCAGGTGTATATCTGTCCTTGAAATCTTTGTCATCCAATTCAATCACCCCATACCTGCAAATTACATTCTTGGACTTCTGTACTCTCATATTCCAGCTCTTTATGACCTAGTATTACAAATTTACAACTCTAGGTAACTGCTTTGATGCGCTCCATTTCAAGCACCAGAACACATTGTGTTTGTGGTTATTAGTAGAATATTGCTTGTCTTGACATCTATCAGTGGCAAATGTTGATAGGGAAAAAAAACAAATATTGCTTACTCTTAAGTTAGTGTCCAGGACTGTTTTCATATATTTGACCAAACTTAAAATTAGGGAAAGCCAAAATGGATATATAGCTATTTATGCTTGCTGTTAATTGCTTGGATACGTGTGCTGAGTGTGCTTCTTTGTTTACCTAGCCACTTCCATGGCTTAACAATGGAGCAGCCATTGGCATTCATGCACATGAAGTATTATACAGCATGCTTTTCATGCAAGGAGCGTAAAATTGTCGTGTAGAATCTTACCTGGAAAAGTCATTGCATCCAGTTTTCTAAAACATTCTTGCTCATATTTCCAATAGTGATTGCATATGTTCTATGATTATCATTTTGTTTCAAGTTTTGACCAACATCTGCTGGAACTTATCAATTATGGTTTAACTCAATCAGTTCATACTTGTTTTCCTCCATATTTTAGTTTTACCATTGCGTTTGATGTTATGAAATTAATTTATTGTACTAACTCATTATTTTTTTATTTTTTTATTTATGTTTTTTTTTTTAATTTTATTTTTTTAATATTGTAATTTCTTTGGGCAGACCCCTTTGCTGGGTTGAGCACATGTCTCTGGATAATGAGACTGGACTTGATCCTGCTGGTGTAAGAGTCAGACCTGTCTCCGGTCTTGTGGCTGCTGATTATTTTGCTCCTGGCTATTTTGTATGGGCTGTTCTGATTGCTAATCTGGCTCGAATAGGGTATGAGGAGAAAACCATGTATATGGCTGCATATGATTGGAGAATTGCATTCCAGAACACTGAGGTATATTTTTAAGCAATCATTCCTTATGACGATTAGCTGACTCCAAATCAAATAGGGACTTGTAGTATTAATGTTTGACTGTGGTGCTGCAGTGACTTTGTATTTATTTAATATGCGTTCTGTCATGTTTCAGAGTCATGAATTTTGGGATGTAAACTTAGAAGTCTTTATTATTTTGTGTTGGGCATGTGTCTTGTGTGTAATTTGATAAATTTATTTGGAGAGCTAATATATTGTTATCTCTCGATTCAGGTATTTCATTTACAAGTATATATGGTGTTCCCCTCAAAAAAAAAAAAAGAAAAAAAAAAACTAGTGTATATGGTGTTTTATCAATAGCTTTAAGGGATGTACATGCGTTTTATTAGAATGAAAGTCTGATAATATATATTAGACAACCTGATTTGGAATGCTTAATCTTCAGAATGAAAGTCTGGATTGATCTGGTATTTCGGAGGGAGTAATAGACAATTGAAGATCTTTAATTGTAAGTAAATGGAAATAAGAAGTTTTGGCATTAATCTTCTAATATTGTCAAATTTTAACAAGAATAATCAATAATGTGATATTACGTATAGAAAGAAGAGTCTAATTTATTTGTGGATTGTAATTTTGTATGAAATTTTAATTGCAATGTTGATGGGAGTATCAATTAGTATTTTGAGATGTATAGAAAATAGGTTTTGTATTAGATTTGCTATAATTCTGTTTGATATATAGAATTGTATCTATCTGTTATGTAGATCTATGGCTTAGCATAGTATGAATCCGTATGATATTGAACCTTTAATATTAGACTGAATTGAGATCTAAAGGCACTTGTGCATGTATTGCGGCTCGAACTAGCTCTTAACCCACATGACAAAAACTGATCATGCCTCTTGTTTAAATGTGTTTTACTTTTCTTCGATGAATATCATCAGGTAAGGGATCAAACTCTTAGCAGGATGAAAAGTAATATAGAACTTATGGTTGCAACAAATGAAGGGAACAAGGTGGTTGTAATTCCACATTCCATGGGTGCTTTGTACTTTTTACACTTTATGAAATGGGTTGAGGCACCAGCCCCAATGGGTGGTGGGGGTGGATCTGATTGGTGTGCTAAACATATCAAAGCGATAATGAATATTGGTGGACCATTTCTAGGTGTTCCCAAAGCTGTTTCTGGACTATTCTCAGCCGAAGCCAAGGATATCGCTGTAGCCAGGTCTCGTTTCCTATCTTTCTTGTTTCCTATCTTCTTTCCTAATGTAATTAGTGCTACATAAAAGGTGAATGTATTCCATATGGAGTTGCATATAGAAAGCTTAAAATATAAAGTCTGAAAACGTAAAAGTCGTATCAGTATCTACTAAGAACAATTAATATATCATATTCTTCTGATTTTTTATAATTGCAACAAGTCCCTTGGCAAAGAAAGATATTGAGAAGGTAAACAATCTAACTAAGATGACATAAAGACCAGTAACCTAATCCTTCCCTATTACTGAAGTTTAATTTGCCCATTTACCTCCTCCATTTCCTTCCTTAAAATGGATGCCAAGGAGACATGTGTGATCATAAACAACGGAATACAATATTTACTTGATCATATTTGGTTATCACGCAAGTAGTTGACGTTACATAATCATTGACAACTGTTGAAGTACAAAGTACAAAAGAAGTTTGTTTATTGTTGACCACATAGATTATGAAGTGTGTTTGATGTTTCATAAAATAATTTTAGTACCCATCATCTTATTTATTGGAGGATAAAATACATTTGCTGAAGTGGATAATAATTTGGGTATCTAGGTTTAAAACAAAGAGATAAAGAGTTGCACATAATAAACACTTTACGAGTGTTGCATAACTGCATAAGGTTGTTAGGTTTCTGGACACTGCCTTGGAGCTGGAATTGGCTTGTGATTATAAATAAATAAAAGAGATTGTGATATGAGGGGAAGATAGGGGGATGCATCCACATTATCTTTTATCGTATTCATGAATTTCTGTCTTGGTATTAGGGTTATGAGCTAGTCTCTAGCTGGGCATACTACTAATGCTAGTGCATTATTAAGTTTGAACTTTGATAGGATTGGAATTTGTGTAGGCTAAGGGGTGTCATATTTTTCTGGAATTGATGTAGGCTAAGGGGTCTCATTAATTTTTCCTACTTAAATGAGTTAATTGGATATTTTAACTCTTTTCAATAGTGTCTCCTCAATCAATTAAAAGAAATTGGAAGAGAAATAGATTTATAGGAAAAGAATAATGCCTAATCCTATAGGTACTTTGTGAATATTGACTTATTTACCACTCATCTGACTAATGAGATAGAAGTCGTCAGTATAAAATTACCCTAAGTGTGAACATATCAAATTTCACATAGATTTCTGCAATCAAACAAGTTTTCTAAAATGTTGTGGACAGAGTCTTTGCACATGCAATTGGTGCTTTCATTACATCAGTAGTTTTGGATAAAAATTTATAGATTCAGCTATTCTGATTAATGGCAAAATAACTTATCATGGTATAGGTCTGTTGCACCTTCTGTTCTGGATAAGGATGTCTTTGGTCTCCAAACGTTGCAGCATGTAATGAGGATGACTCGTACATGGGATACAACCATGTCCATGATACCAAAAGGCGGGGACACCATCTGGGGTAATCTTGATTGGTCACCTGAAGATGGGTACAATTGTACTTTGAAGAAGCAGAGGAGTAATGATACACACACTGCTGGAAAGAATGGAAATGGGTGCCTGGATTCATCAGGAAAAGGTGCGCACTTTGGAAGAATAATATCATTTGGAAAGGATGTAGCTGAGGCCCCTTCCTCGACGATTGAGAGAATGGACTTTAGGGTAAATTTTTCTGCCTTGCTTTACATTAATACCTTTCCACGGAAGATAAAATCACTAAATCACTATTCAATAGTGTTTTCTTGTGTCAGAAAGTAGAGACTTGTACCATTTAACTTATTTACATATTAGCTTATGTGTGATTCATGTTTGGGTACGTTTTTCCCCCTATGGTACTGTTATTATTTCTGCAGTTTTTCTAACAAGATTAGGTAGGTAAATAGGGACTCGAATATACATGGATATCTTTGTATACTAAATTACACACTTGAGCATCTCTTGAGCTTTGTATTTGATGTGCATTGGCAATTTGACATGGATTGACACCAAATAGAGTTGCCAACCTATCATTACAATACAGGAAATCTGAATTTTTAGAAATTGTTAATTTTTACTATGTGGCAAATGTTGCCAGTGGATGATTTTCTCAAATAACCAAGCAAGTATTGGTGATGCTACAAAGTTGTATAGTTGTATTTGTTAATAATATCAAAGCTTACAATTGGAGTTAAAATGTGATGATAGGGGCAGTGCTCGATGTGAGTATGGAGATTCTACTAGGAATATTGTCGGTAAGTATTATACAATGTTGGTCATTGAAATTGAATTGGATAGTAATACCTTTTATGTTGTGGGTAAGGAGGTGATATTAGCTATGCAGAATTTAATTTTTCAACGAATGGATGACAGGCAAATTTGTAACCTAACATGAAGTTCAAAGTAGAATATGGTAAAACATAAAAATCTCAACTTCAAAGTTTTCATATTACCTGCTTGAAGGAGTCACTGTGCGTTAAGAGGCACTTTTAATTTTAGCCTTTTTTTTGGATGGGCGGGTGTTTTGGAGTTTATAACCAAAAATAAAAAATAAAAAATTATCATTTATCCTTGATGGCAGTCCAAATTTTTTGCCTTCCACCTTATTTAACAATTATTGGCATTATCCTTCGTAATTTTTTGTTGCAACATACTTCAAAAGTTTGTTCAGTAGTTTATGAACTGAATATGATTGATGTTTGATCTGTTTGCTGGCCTGCTGCTACTCTGATGTCCTCTCTCTCTTCATATCCTTGACTTCATGCTCCAATGCCCAAGGTACTGTGACATGCGAGTATTTTGGTGATTGCCTCACATTTTCTGTTGTTTGTACAGGGTGCCACTAAAGGCAACAACCTTGCTAATGCAACCTGCCAAGATGTATGGACAGAGTACCATGACATGGGCATTCCTGGCATCAAAGCCATTGCAGATTATAAAGTATACACAGCTGGATCAATATTAGATCTACTTCATTACGTGGCTCCAAAAATGATGAAACGTGGTGATGCTCACTATTCATATGGCATAGCTGATGATCTGGATGACCCAAAATACAACCATTATAAATATTGGTCAAATCCATTAGAAACTAGGTGAGTTGTTAGGTTTCAATGTTGTCAGAATTCAAAAATCAGAATGATGTTTAACCACTCGATTAATCTACATTTGCTCGCTATGCTTTCATATTAATTTGACTTTGAATAAGATTATACTTTATGATGACTTTGAACTCAAGATTAAGTATTTCTCTTTTAGGTAAAATAATTCACTGCGTTCTTGAAAATGCAAAAGGTTCTCATTTTTAATTTAATTGATTTGGAATGTATTTGTATAATCTTTCATCTTGTTGCTGTTGGTTGTGGGAGGGAGGTGAGATGGTTAGAAGTTGTTGAAACTTTTCTCTTTTGTGATGTATGCTTCCTGATTTACAATGTATGCAGGTTGCCAAATGCCCCAGATATTGAGATTTTTTCTTTGTACGGAGTCGGAATTCCTACTGAGAGAGCCTATGTTTACAAGATGAGTGCAGCGGCAGATTGTTACATTCCTTTTCAGATTGATACAATGGCCGACAGTTCAGATCAGTGCTCTTGTCTCAAGGGAGGGGTTTACAATGTTAATGGAGATGAAACAGTTCCTGTTTTAAGTGCTGGTTATATGTGTGCTAAAGGTTGGAAAGGGAAAACACGTTTTAACCCCTCTGGAATGCGGACTTTTATAAGGGAGTATGATCATGCTCCTCCAGCTAATCTACTAGAGGGTAGAGGCACCCAAAGTGGTGCGCATGTTGATATAATGGGGAATTTTGCGTTGATTGAAGATGTTATTCGAGTAGCAGCAGGTGCTACAGGAGAGGATTTAGGAGGAAATCGTGTATATTCTGATATTTTTGAATGGTCTGAAAGAATTGACTTAAAGCTATAGCCAACAAGGTTAGTACGCTGGAACTTTTGTACATGTTAATATCTTGGTTCCTTTTACTATTCTTCCGGTTGACTCTCAAATAATTTCAGGATACAAGTCCTTTTTAGAAGGATACAATTGCAGAAAGATGATAGATATCAGAGCTGCAGACTGCAGAAGATATGGCATCTAATATCTATCCCTCTTAATATGATTACATATTTCGTCCATAAATATTCACCTTTTCGATCTTATATAATTTTTCATACGTTCTTTAGTCTTTTTGAAGCTTAGACCTTGTAGTTGCTACCATATACACATTAATTGATTTCCAATCTTCTTTGTTACAGCAGTGGCATTCTACTAGGTTGCCTTAGGGATTTCAGTTTTAGATTTGCTGATTCAAAACAAAGATGACACATAGCTCACACGTTTATCAGCCATCGAACACGGTAATTAGCAACCCAGATAACAAGTGATCTTTTCCTTTGCTTGCGCTCTTCATGTTATGTTATGGCTAGAATTTAGATATTCAATTCATTGTGTACAGAAGTTAATTTTAAATATAAGGGGCAGCTTTTCGTCCCCTGTTATCAATAGGTTTTGGGTGTTGTGAAACCTGGGTCTATTGACAATTTTGTTGTTTTCTTTAATAAGAAAACCAAATGTAGATTTTATTTACTCCGTAGTTTTTATTTTTGGATAGTAATCATTTAAATTTAGGTGGTAAGTTTGCATAAAATCAATGTTGTAATTCTTGTAAATGTTAAAAAGTTGCTTTGAAGAAAAAGGATTGATTGATGAAAGATAACTAGACGACACTTACAAACAATTCCTAGGAAATCAAAAATTTCAACACAAGTACACATTACTTTAGAACTAGTTACATCGCAGGTTTTGATCAACGATCGCCTTAATAAAAAACTTCATCCGAAGCAATACAATTTGTGAATTAGCACTAATTCGGCTTGAGATCCACGGATGAGTAATTGTTTGGGTGAAAAAACTCATATGGCTTTCTGGATACTTTCGGTGAAACCTTAAATCTTCAATCTTTAACAGACGAACAAATATAGAAATTAAGCCTAATAAAATAAACACAATCATAAAGATGAGATACATTTATTGAAAGCAATAACAAAGAGATAATATTGTTACAAGGAGAATATTTGTAGAATTAATAATAGATAATATTGTAGACAGAGATATTATGATTTGTTTTACGCGAACAAAGAGATATAATTTTTCCTTAAAAAAAAAACAAAAAGATATTATTTGCCTATAAATAATAATATTGAGAAGATAATATGATATCAAGTGAGATAATGTTAATATTTGTTGCTGTATTGCTTTAAAATAATTTGGGGTCGTTTGGTTCGCTGTAATGGGGATAGGGAATGAGAATGGGAATGATTACCTTTGTAAGTGTTTGTTTTGCATCTTTTGTCATTCCCATTCTCCATTTTAATTTTTGGGTTTACCCAAAATTGTTCTAAACTCATTCCCCACCCCCGTACCTTTTCCATTCCCTTTCCTCAACCACCAGGTCCACCACCATACCCACATCAGCTGGATGCACCTCGCTGGAACTCGTTGCACCTCGCCGGTTGCTCGCCGGCCCTCCCCCGACCTTCGCCGCCCATCCTCCCACCCGAAAATCCTCCCCCACCCACACATAACCCTTAAAAAACCCTCCCCTCCACCGGAACAACCGGCCGCACCTCACGGACGTTTGTCGCCCCTCCTCTGACCTTCGTTGCCCCTCCCCTCACCCTGAAAATGTCTCCCCTCCCGGAAAACCCCCCCTCACCCACACATAACCCTAAAGAACCCTCCCCCTCCCGTTAGAACAGCCAGTCGCCCCTCCCCCCACCCTCAAAACCTAGCGACCGGGGGTTTCGAGGGTGGGGGAAGGGGCAGCTGAGTGCTTCAACGATGTGGTTTAGAGGTGGTCGGGGATGAGCGGTAGGGTGGCGGAAGGGTGGAGAGGGGAGGCGGTGGGGTGGTTGGATGGTTGGGGTCTTCCCGGAGATAGAGGGAAAGAGAAGTGAAGAAGTGGTGGACTCGTGGTTGTGTGGTGTAGTATTTTTTTTATTTTTTATTTAAGTTGTTTCCTTTTGTTATGTAAAACAAACAACTTTGTAAAACAAAGAGAGTTGCATTCAATTCCTCTCCTTTCCTTTTCTTTAAGTCATTCCCTTTCTCTGAGGTGAACCAAACGGCCCCTTAGTGGGTATTGTGATATTAGTAGTACGCGTGGAGTATGCGAGTGGTATTAGGAAGTAGTTGTGCTTAGTGCTTCTCCAATTTAAATGATAAAATTTCGAATTCTTAATATTGTCTTCTACCTTTGTTTGGCATCCCATCATATATAAATACTTGATACATATATCCGTTAGATTTAGATTATTAAAGCTACGCTAGAAGTTTTGGTAAAAAAAAAATAAAAAATAATCAATGGCGGCAGCGTCAAGTCAATCAAGTCCCATTGAATGCCTTCCTACGGACATACTCTCGCAAATACAAGTACTGCTTCCCAACATCAAGTGCTTATTACGTGCAAAACTCGTGTGCAAGTCATGGTTTACCCTCATATCATCTTCGGAATTCACCCATCTTTATAATCTCTGCCATAACAACAATTCTCTCCTTGTATATGCCAAAGATGATTTTAACTTTCACAGTCCCTATCTTTACGGAGTCGAAGTCAATGATGACGACGTTTCGAAGGCGGAGAAAATTCAACTTCCTCCATACCTAAATAAGTTGGGAATCATTAAGATTGTTGCTTCATGCCATGACTTGTTACTTTGCACTTTGGTAACTCTACTTTGATCTTGCTAAATCCATTAACTCGTCTTTACCACATTATTCCTCGGATCGTTTGGGGTATAAATGGGAACGATTCAATTATTGATAGACTGCTCTATCCCAATTCTTACCGTGATGACGATTTCGATATTGGACTCGGATATGATCATATAAAAGATGACTACAAAGTTGTCATTTTTGAGAGTGGTGCGTTCGGTAACAACCAAGTTTTCCTGTACAGCCTAAGAGATGGGTCATGGGAACGTCAAAGTTATTTTCCGGATTGTTTCTTATTTTCAAGTAATATTAAACCCGCGGTTTGTTTGTTGCATATTATATACCAACGCAAAAGAATTGTACGGTTTAATGTTTGCAACGAAGAATGGAGTGAAATTCCGGTACCCGGTGTCGAAAGTTACATAAACTAGGTTAGGTTCCGTGCCATGCGTAATTTTCAATAACTAATCTATAATTATTAACATTATATTTAATTATAAAAAAAATCTATTTAAGTTACTACTTTGTAAAATGAATTAATTATGAAAGTGTCTATTATTAGCAAAATAGATAATTTAAAATACACATTATATGTATATTTATATATATTTCAGTAACTAATTTATATCATTTCTTCATTTAACCAAATGAATATCTTACAACTATGTATTTAATTCGTAAATAGATTTACTTTTTACACATTATTAATCCATTCCCTCTTACGCGGTATTTATTTTTCTTCTCAATAATCAACTGGCTTAGAAAAAAAATTCATATCTTTCCTAGCAAGCTTTTCAAACATAATTAAATACACAAATATTTTTTTTAAAAAATAATCCTTGTTGTAAAAATGGTAAGAGTCGTATGTAGCACTATGTATGTCACAAATTATGTTAAGAATTTGATTTTCATTGTTTTAACTTTAGCTTATGGTATCAATATATGTAGTGCAAGGAGACATTAAATCTTTTTAATCTTCTATTTATATATAAGATTTGTTTCCTAAATAGTTTGTTTTTTTTTTTTTTTTTTTGGACACACCAGAAAATGACACGCGTCATTGCTGACGTGTCTTTTAGTATATAGTTATTGATTTATGATATAGGGGTTTTGAATGGTTGCTTCTTGCTTGAGTGTCCTAGAGGGACGAATCAAGTTATGGGTGATGAAAGAGTACGCCGTTAAAAAAATCATGGGTTTTAAATTCATGGGTTTTATTATTATGTGTTTCTGACTTGTATCCAATTAGGTCTTCGTTAGCCTGTACTCCTTTGGCAATATCGAGTGATAATTAAGAACGAAATTCTACTGCATTTGAAGGACGATGACCAATGGATGTTCAGTTGTGTATGGTATAATTTGAAAGAGAAAAAGACTAGAAAAGCTCAAATTAGTCCATGGGATGAATACGTTTCACTCAAGAGTATATTTCCTGTTACGGATATTAGTAAGTTTAATAAAAAAAAAATAAGGTACGTAATTTCTATTGATGCTCTTGACTTAACTATTTGTTGAACCCTATATGAACATTATTGTTGTATTTATACCCACAATTCATTCATAGTTGGTTTTTGGATAAGTCATAAGTGTGTGATATAACCTCGTATGTATAACTATTTGCTCATTTAACAAATGAGCAACTAAGTTTTTGCTCATTTGTTAAATTAGCAACTAACTATTTGCTCATTTACTAAATGAGCAAAAAATTGATTGCTCATTTCCCAAATGATCAAAGAAATGTTTGCTTATTTTGCAAATGAGTAACTAATTATTTGCTCATTTGACAAATGAGCTCATTTCACAAATGAGCAAAGAAATGCTTGCTGATTTAATGAATGATTAAAGAAATGTTTGCTCATTTAACTCTTTTACTCATTTGTACGAACTATATGTTCAATAAATAATAACCAAAGATTCATTTGATTCAATGATAAAATCAATTGTTGCAAGTTTATTCAATAGCTAATTTGCTCAACCTCATAACATTCCGATGACTCACGAAATCAATCTCATAATGAACAAGACACTCCTATATGTTTAAGAAAAATTGATTGCTCATTTGTGAAATGAGCAAATAAGCAAATAATTGATTCTGTTAAGAAATATAAAATTAACAAAATTTCAACAAAATTAAAAATATATTATTAAATATAAAATTTCATCAAAATTTCTATATGTTCGTAAATAATGAGGGGATGTGCTAAAAATATTAAATGTTATATGTATGTAAAAGTATCATTACATTTTTTTTGGACAATTTCTAATATCATGATGACTCAATTTATCACAACACCTGCATAATCTCTTCTTTTTCTGGTTTTGTTCTATAGCCTTTTCTTTTTCTCCCTTTAGCCTTTTTGCACTTCTACCTCTTGTTTCAACATTTAACACATCAATCTCAATCCCTTTCTTTTTTGAAGTCTCTTCATTTGATACATGAACTACAGTCCCTTTATTCATTTGAGAAGAGAGGGAGCAGCAGAAGGGTGGCAGGAGCAGTAGTTGGGGGGCAGATAAGATAAAAAAAGTATCAATTGTATTTGCTCATTTGACAAATGAGCACATAAGTATTTAGGAAGCACAACCCCAACAAAACAAATTATCCTAGCAACAGCAACAAGAACGCAACAATGATACTCAAATTTAAAATAAGAACACAAGAACGATCATACCACAACAACACAGCTTTGAAATTGGATAATAAATCAAAAGTAAATTCAAGACTAAACATGAACATGGAACACAACTTATTTTTGCTCATTTGCTCATTTTTATATTTGCTCATTTTTTTTTGGTAGTTGCTCATTTTAAGTTTATTTTGCTCGGTCTTCACTTTATGCCTACACATATCTTAATATTTGCTCTCTACATCAGATCTAATATCAAAACACATTAGAAGACAAACAGAAGAGCACATAAAGCCACAGATAGATATCCTCTCTACGATCTCACAAAACAGAAAACTAGCACCAAAAGGAACTAAGGGTACCCAACACCAGCTCCAATGCTCCATGGCATGAAGTTCAAAGAGAGAAGGGCAACCATATAGCACATCAAAATAAAGAGCATGTCAAGATAAAATGAGCAAAAAACAATAATTGTTAAATTACAATGGCAAAAACACCAGAGCAAAGCAAGAAATAACACAAAGTTTTGTTCAATATTGATTGATCCACAAAAATGATAGCAGAAACTAGATGATTTGAAAAGGAGTAAAACTTGATAATGCAACCCTTCACTATGATTTGCAAAACTGAGCATATATAGCATTCAATTTAACCTGATGTATCAACATCCTAAACAACTAATCACATCATCACCGTAGCTAAAACCAGGCATTCTCCAAAATTTTCAAAAGATACACCCAATTCTTTTCCCTCTCTTGAAGAATGTGTATTGAATAAATCTTAACATTTAACTAATCCAAACATCAAGAAAAAAAATAATATAGTAACAATCAATACAACCATAAAATAAACAAAACATTTTCAATACCTCCTGTCAGTTGCTTCGGACTGCACTGTCATTTGCTCATTTTTTTTTTTTTTTTTTTTGGTATTTGCTCATTTTAAGTTTATTTTGCTCATTTTAATTATGTTTTCTCATGTAATTTTTCTAGGAAATATTTAGGTTTGCTCATTTTCAAATTTTTTGCTCATTTTATAATTTTTTTAAGTTTAAATGATTAAGAACATTTAATTGGAAAAAAATAAGAACATAATAAGAGCATTCAATTGAAAATTTATTGAGTAACAAATTTCACAACATGAATAACAAATTTTAAAGAAAATTCAAAAGTAAATTCGAAAATTATCAGAACATGGAATTCGATAATATATCAAAAGTATATTCGAAAATCATCATATTATTAAATTCGTTAATTTCAACAAAAATTCAGAAGTAAACACGAAAATTATCAGAAAAAATAAATTCGAAAATTCTCCTAGAATATAATAATAAATCTCACATACTAAGATTAACATGCAATTCAATAAGATTAGACGATTGACATCATTGAATTTTAACGAAAATAATCCAAAATCGAAAATAATTAGAACAGAACAATGGAAAATTTTAACAAAAATAATCCAAAACTTAGATAATGAACAAACCTCAATAATCGATGGAAATTGTGTACTTCTAACAAGCTAAGAAGAGGAGAGAGAAATTGTCGAGGTTGAGTTTTTGATTAGACGTCATTGATGAAACTTCGTGGTGGAGAGAGAAGACAGTTAAGCGTTGTGGAGAAAGACAGTTAAGCGTGGTTTTTAAGAGGTTTATATCATTAATCTCAGCTGTTGGATTTAATACAATCTAATGGCTGAGATTTGTTCTCACATAAGAGATGAGTTCTCACATAGAGGGTGGTTCTCACCTGATCCTGACCATATATATATATATATATATATATATATATATATATATATATATATATATATATATATATATATATATATATATATATATATCAGTTAACAAATGAAACATATTATTAGCCAACAAAAGGATAAAATTAGCCAACAAATTAAAATAAACCTATCAGCCAACAAAATGAAATATATAAGCCAACAAAATATACATATTAGCCAACAAAATAAATATATCAGCCAACTAAAGAAACATATCAGTCAACTGATGTCTGATAGCAGCCAACAAAAGTAACATATCAAAATTTAAAAATAAAATAAAATAAAACATATCAGCCAACAAAAAGAATATATTAGCCAACACAAAAACCATATCAACCAATAAATGAAACATATCAGCCAACACATGAAGCATATCAGCCAACAAATGAAATATATCAGTCAAGCCTACCGCACGTAATTATGTGTGCGACAGTCCGCACCCAATATATTCTCTTTAAATTATATATATATATCGACATAAAGATTGTAGTTATCTATATATCTTTAATTCCTTACCTAGAAAATGCAAAGTAATCTTAAGTATATGTTATTTTCACCCTTTTCACAAATTTATAAATCAATCAAAGTATAAGTACACCAAATCATTATTTCATAACATTCATTACATTGATAAAATTAGACTAGAGCAACTTAGTTTAGATGAAAATTATCTTTCATCTCTCTTTTCTTTATATTATTGATAAACATTCATTATACAAATCGCTTCACAAGGTAATTAAAAGATTTACCATTCATCTTTGTCTCTTTTTTCTTCATGCTCAAGAAATCTCAAACATCAAATTCTTTCTTTTTCAAAAGTGGATTCACCTCATCATCAATGTGAACTAAAGGATCGATGTTCATAAAAAGGAATAAAATCCTCTCCTTCATAATGTAACATTTGGACAAAGTTATTAAGTAAAAGAAATGCTAAAAGCATAAAAGTGAGGCAAACTTCATACACGCAAAACAATAAAGGCTAAAATCTCAATATTAAATCAAGGAAAATTATATCCTTATAATTTGATAGTCTTTTTGAAATGAAAATTGGCACAACATAGTATTCAGTCATAAGGAATTACTTGATATCCAAGTTATCTTACCTTTTATAAAACATCTCGGATCTCTTTATTCAATTTTTCCCTAGTACGCTCTAATCATCTTTAATTCGTAACCTCAAAATTAAAGCAATCTTTAATTAAAGCATAATCATAAAACCAAACCAAATAAAATGGTTATGCTAACAATAATTGGAAGGATTACAGATGGCATGCCAATGTCACAAGGTCTAAGGTATGCCAATGAAGATTACAACAACATACCATACTACAAGCAACAAGCTGAGAATTCATTCTCAAAGAAATTTCAAGAGGTTCTTTAGCACCTAATCCCAAGATGACCATTCGCCTCGATCATCAACATTCGTTCATATCCCTCTCTTCCCCCTCTCCCAGGCCCTAGCTAGCGAGTGCCACTTTATGTTTTGATTTAATTTATGGACGAATTTGTATTGCTAACATGGTTTTTCTAATGATCATCATAAGTTGTTTGGTAGCTTGTGGTACGTATTTGCTTCATCACATTGTGTGATTCTTCATATCCGAGAACACTAGCTTTCCATTACCTTGAGGATTTGAGGCATGAGTTAGAGAAATTTCAAAGCGATCAACTTGTGGATAAAATTACTAGACCATATAGTTTTGTCAACTTTGGTAAGCATTTTTTAATTGTATTATTAACATTGTTTTCCTCTTTTGTTTGTTAATTTGATTATCTTGAAGGTGTTCATAGCGCAAAATCCTATGATTTTTTTAGCTTGGGTGATTATATGTAGACAGTGTTATTATCAAAATTAGGAAACAACATGTTGACACAAGAGCACAAGCTAATCTAAAGAAGTTGAATGCTAATCACGGACAAGAGTTGGATATCACAATAGAAACCATGTCTGCAGTTATAGAAAACAGAAAGCAATTAGGTAAAATTCTCTTTCACCAATTACTTGGCTCATATTTTCACTGAATTTTGTGAAAAAGCTAAACTAAATTGTTTTCATTGCTTTTACTAGATTATATGGAAAGAGTTGTGATGGCTCCTCAAATTGTTTCACCAATATGGGGTTCTCGGCATCTTGAGGTACACACTTAAATTACAAAGAAAGATTTTGAAGATTGAAAATGTTATGAAAGTAAGCTTACATTTCATAATGTGGCAGATTATCGCGTTGAAATGGACACCAATTAGCATTTCAATTAGTGTTGTGGTCATTCTTCTGTTGTGGGCGTCTTTGATTTTGGCAGATTACATTGTCTTGTGCTTGTGACATAACGTTGAAGAAATCTCACAATCATTATTTTTCCTCTCTATATAGTACCGCAGTACAGAAGAATATACAACACAACCATTAAATAGGTTGTCCAAGCTTATGAACACACAATATAACTTCCTTTGATGATCAAATAATACCAAAGTTAATATTTGTAACTGAGATGCAGAAGAATATGCAGTACAGCCATCTAATAGTTTACAAACAGCCTAGTCACTTAAAGACAGTAAATCAGTAATCAAACTACAATCTATGTCAAGAATAGAGAGAATAGTGTAGTGTGTTTTGTATTAGAGTATGAACAAGTACATATATACAAACTAAAAGTGATTAGGGCTCAACACATTGGCCCAATAACTATACACTAATATAAGGCTTAACACCCCCCCTCAAGTTGGAGCATGCAAATCACAAATGCCCAACTTGCCAAGTAAATACAAAAATTGGTTTTTGGTTAAGGCCTTAGTGAATATATCCGCGAGTTGATCAGTCGTCTTGACGTATGACGGACTAATAACCCCTTCCTGAATTGCATCCCTAACATAATGACAATCTACCTCAATATGCTTAGTGCGTTCGTGGAAGATCGGATTCTGCGCAATATATAACGCCGATTGACTATCACAAAACAAGCTCATTGCACGGGGATGCGAGACTCCCAAACTGTCGAGTAGTGCCTTCAACCATTTTAACTCATCAATTATATTAGACATCGAACGATACTCTGCCTCTGCAGAAGACTTAGAAACAATATGTTGCTTCTTAGTCTTCCAAGAAATAGGGGAACCACCAAGAAACACCAACCAACCAGAAATCGATCGTCTCGTCAAAGGGTGACTAGCCCAATCCGAGTCACACCAACCTGTCAAATGTAAATTGCATTATGAACTCAATAGGATTTCTTGACCCGGACATCCTTTCAAGTAACACACCGTACGAATGGCGGCCTCCCAATGATCTTGACGAGGTTGTTGCATAAATTGAGATAAGATATGAACTGTGTAAGCCTGATTAGGTCTAGTAAAAGACAAATAAATCAGACGACCCACAAGACGACGATACCTTTCAGGGTCAGCAATAAGAGGAGTCTCTGATTTAGCCAGAGTATGATTTGCTCAATAGGAGTACTTGCCGGACGTGCCCCTAACAAACCAGACTCTGCAATAATATCAAGAGTATATTTCCGTTGACATAGAAATATGCCCTCCGGGCTTCGAGCAACCTCAATACCAAGAAAGTATTTCAACACACCCAAATCTTTCATATGAAAACAGTCACTCAAATATGATTTGAATGTCGAAATTGCAGAAGAATCATTGCCCGAAATTATTAAATCATCAACATACACCAGAGCACTAAGATGAATAGCCCCATTATTCATAGTAAATAAAGAATAGTCAGAGTACGATTGCAAAAATCCGTACCTTTTTCAGAGAATTGGCCAGTTTAGAGTACCAACATCGAGGTGCTTGTCGTAGGCCATACAAAAACTTTCGAAGACGACACACCAAGCCAGATTGAGTACCATGAAAACCAGGATGGGACTTCATATAAACCTCCTCATCAAGATCACCGTGCAAGAAAGCATTATGGACATCCATTTGGTGTAATTCCCAATTTTTCGCAGCAGCAACCGCAAGAAAAGCACGAACGGTGACCATTTTAGCAACGGGAGCAAAAGTCTCGTTATAATTTATACCCTCAACCTGATGATTACCAAATATAACAAGGCGAGCCTTCAATCTTTCAATTGTGCCATCTAAGTTAAGCTTGACCTTGTACACCCATCGGCAACCAAGAGCTTTCTTACCCGGAGGTAATTTTTCTAACACCCATGTTCCATTATTTTCAAGAGCAGTAATCTCTTTTTGCATAGCCTCTCGCCACCCTTCATGTTGCATTGCCTCATTGAAATTTCGAGGCTCAACCACTGTATCCACAACTGCAATAAACACACGGTGTCGCAAGGAAAAAATTATTACAATTCACAAAGTGTGCTAAGGGATAAGGAGTACCTGAGGAGCTTGGAGTAGACGGTGAACTTTGAGGGATAGATGAACTCGGAAGAGATATAGTATATGCGATGTAATCACGATGCCAACTGGGAGGATGCCTTTCCCTTTGACCACGGCCCATATCAATAGAGGAAGTAGAGGTGGAATTCGGATCAGCCATGGGGCTGCTGTCTGAGGGAGTAGCTGTAATAGTAGCCTCGGCAGAAGAGGCCGCAGGAGGGCTGCGTGGAGGAGCAGAATCCGCAGGTGGCCTGCGGTGTAGGTTGCGAGGAGCAGCAGTAGCAGTGGCCGTAGGATCTGCAGCATGGACAGGAGGGCTAGGCGGATTTTCGGGCACAAGGGAGTCCTCACTAACCTCCAAAATATGCTCTAATTCATCTAGAAAATCCTGATCCACCCCAACATTGTCGTTTGACATGCCTTCGATACTCACATTAGTAGAAATTGAATCACTCTTATGCACATATGGAAATTCATTTTCATAGAATTTAACGTCACGTAATACAAATATATCACCGGTTTCTAAATCATACAACTTCCAACCCTTCTTGCCATAAGGATAACCCACAAACACACACTTCCTACTCTTAGAAGCAAAATTTTCGCCCTTTGCTTTTTGGTTATGAGCAAAACAAAGACACCCAAAAACACGTAACTCATCAAAATTAGGTTCTTTGCCAAAGAGAATTTCATATGGAGTTTTATTGGCTAGTAAATGAGAGGGAGTGCGATTAATCAAATAAACCTCTCCAAGGACACATCCACCTTAAAAATCAATCGACAAATTGCCTTGAAACATCAATGCCCGACTCACATTTAAAATATGTTGATGCTTACGCTCTACCCGACCATTTTGTTGTGGTGTGCCAGCACCAGAGGTTTGGAATAGAATGCCATTTTCATTAAAATACAGAAGCATATGTTTGAACTCCGTACCATTATCACTCTGTACACATTTCACATGAACATCAAATTGACATTTAACCCTAGCAAAGAAAGAAAAAAAGGAAGAATAAAATCCAGTTTTGTCATTAAATAAATAAACCCAAACACCTCTTGAAAAGTCATCAACAATTGTCAAAAAATAATGAGCACCACAAGTAGAAGGCGTCTTATACGACCCCCATAAATCACAATGTATCATTTCAAAAATATGACTAGCCCTACTATCACTATTAGGAAAATTATCCTGTGATTGTTTAGCTTGTGGACAAATTTCACATGCTTTATTCAAAGATTTGCTACCAGAACTAGTACTAATAGTAGGCACTAACTTGAAAATTTTATCCGACGGATGACCTATACGTTGATGCCATAACTCGAATGCAGAGACCTTCGAATTTGTCACCGCACATACTTTAGGAATTCGTCGGAAATAGTAGAGTCGATCTATCCGTTCACCGCCTCCAATCAGGCTCCCCGAGTGTTGGTCCCGCATAACACATAAAGAGTCGGTGAATTGTACATTACAATGTGAATCATCGACCATTTTAGACACGGAAATTAAATTGCAATTTAATTTGGGAACGAATTAAACATTCTCAAGAATTATTCCGTCAGCTAAATACACTCGCCCTTCCTTCGTAGCCATGGCTTGAGCACCATCCGGAAGACTGACAGGGCAAGGAGAAATGAATTGCACATCCATTAAACATGATTCGTCACCGATAACATGATGAGAAGCTTCGGTGTCGATGATCCATGACAATGAAAAATACTCACCCGTCATGTTGTCTTGTTGACGATTATTAACCATAGTCAAAAGAAGACGAACATGCTCGGGTTGAAGCTCTGACAAAGCCGAGAGGGTTTCCTGCGAGGGAAGAGATGTAACAACAGCAAGTAACAACAGCAAGAGAGGCGCCCACGGTATTGGAACGAGTCGTGGGCTTGCTGTGATCAGACACAGCCGTAGCAGCAGCAGCAGGCGAAGAAGTGATAGGCCGTTGTCGAGCCTACCAAAGATAATAATTCCTATCATGATCTCACTAACTACTAGCAAGGGTAAGAAAGGGTCGAACCCAAGAGAAGCGTTGAATCAACCACCGAGTACTACCGTTTAAATAAGCTAAATGAAGTTGAAATCGGGTTGGTTTTGAGTAACTTCTACTAATTCAATTCAACTAAAACTAAGAGGAGATTAACAATATTTAGAGGAATCTAGGGCTTGGGTTATACCACTAAAATTCATCACAAATCACGATTAGCATGCAACAATCAAGGTAAGTTAAGGGGATAAATTAGGGGAAGTCATCTAAGGCACCCAACTACTCTCTCAAGCTTGAGGGATTACTTGAATCATGAATACAACCTACTCTCGTGGTTACAAAGCATAAAGAAAGTGTTAAAGCATAATCACGATGATATAAACATTCCCTTGACTAGAAATTCCTATTCTCATGGCATTTCAAGTCAATTAAGCATATGAGAGCTAACTCAAGTTCATCTCTCGATCCTTCGTTGAGAAAGCTTGGATAAATAGTTCTAGCAATGGCCATATACAAGAACTAAGCAATTAAACCACTTAAGCTCAACTAATTAACACCCAATAATCACCCAATTATTACATGCAACAAGTAATTAGTGACTACATTGAGGGTTTATCCAAACCCTAGAAATTAGACTACTCACAATCCATAGAGATTAAAGCAATTAAAGATTTCAAGCAATTCATGAACAAGTTCAAACTAAGGATTAAGATAATTAACAATCTAAGCATGCAAGAATTAAGCAAGTAATTAACAACAAAGTAAAGAGTAATGGAAGAGAAGAGTAAGAAATAGTTACTATGAAGCTTCAAGGTGAGCAACAATGGTGGAACTTGTCTTCTACAATGATTGAAGTTGAATATTTCCAAGCTAATAATTAGAATCTAACTAATGATTTGAGAATTTAATGTTCTAGGATTGCAAAACTAAGAGAAAGCTCTAAAAACCTTGCTTTTCCGTACAAATGAGCTTGGTAGGCGTGTCGCGTACCTATAAAAAATAACCTAACAGACCAATACTAATGTAGACTGGTAAGTAAGGGTCGGATCCCAAGAGACTAAGGTTCAGAAATAATTAAATAGACTCGAATCTTTACTAAGAAAAAATCAAGTATAATCGATAACTAAGGGTCTAAAATATAGGAAAAATTAGAAAATAAACTAATTAAGATGATTAAATCAAGCAATTAAAAACATCCAAGATCTTAGTTTCACCACAATTATTATTGAAGCAATTGTAATTCTACCCTTAACATACGATTTTAATTGAACGGGGAAAAGTAAACCCTAATAAATACCAAGGATCTCTCTCGAGTATCAATGGCTTCCCTAACATACAATCAATCCTATTCTCATGGTATCATGCATATTAGAGACAT